TGTGTGTGTGTGTGTGTGTGTGTGTGTGTGTGTGTGTGTGTGTGTGTTTGTGTGCGTGTGTGTATCCATAGATTTTCTCGCTGATCCAACCAAACACGAGGCAAAACTTTACTCGAATCGTAGGTAATGAATAAAACCAACCAAAAAAACATGAAAAAAATTAACAATATTCCTTTCTCCTTTGTTAATATGAGAGCCAAGTTTTCATCGAGCTAGTAACCCAGAGACCTCGCTCACGCTCGACCAAGGAACACGTGCGTTTATTATCCTTGACGAGTTGGGGGCACGAAACGGAAGACGATAAAGTAAATTAACGTGAACGAACAAGCGATCGTGGTTAATCGCGAGATAATAAAAGGCATCCGCCTCGTCTCACTTTGTACTGCTGCAACAGGTTCGACCATTTCTTCTTCAGCACTCTGTAGTGTACGTTAGCCATAATGGTGGGAAACTCTTCTCGCATTTGTTGCAGAATGTACCTACGAAATCCAAACAGAAACACGATTCAAAACTCATTGAAAATGCTGTACCGAAGTGTTCACTTTTCGGTGGACCACTCGGTATATGTCGGGAATCATTCTAAAAAATATCCTCGTGTTTTGTGAAATTCTGAGAAACGAACACTGAGGACACTGTTCGCTAGGAAGAAATCAAATCTGCTTATTGTTTTGCTTTTATACGCGCGATAACGAAATCGATAAGTGACGAGTAGCTGTGGCTCTCAACTACACGCAATTCTACTAAGCATTTCCATTTCCATTTCCGTTCTTACAATACACGCATTGCATTTGATGCAGCAGTGTCCTATTAATCCTCCTATTAATATATAAAATTCTATGTCATTACAACCGCTAGTTTGCGTACTCGAAGTGGCCTGAAATCGTCAGGTGGCCAACTGTGCATTAAAGATTATTTTATTCCTATCAACCTTGTATTATTACATCGGAAATGTGAATTAGCATAAAATCTGTTGATAGGATAAACAATTCCATTCCAACGGTATTCTCGGAAAACCGTAGGAAGGCTTAGCAATCCCGAATAAAATAGAAACGTTGTTGATGTACTCAAGGATACTTGAAATTCCCTCCTTACGTTATCTCCGAGAGAGGAAACGTTGAAAAGCAAGC